GTCTGCCGAAAAAATAGAACTATTGGTGTTTACATGCCTATTTTTTTTTCCACGCGTATAATCGCTCAAAAATAGCTCTTTTGCAGCGTGAACACGCGTTTTTCCAAATTCTTGTCTGCTTGGATGATCGAAGTAGAGGTATTTTATTTTATTTAACTTTCCTTTACTAAGTACAGTAAAGGAACTACTTTTACTCTATTTTACTTTACTTAGTAAAGTAAAGATAAAGTGCCATCCGTACTTTCTTCTCCTCTCTCTAATAGTATTTATTTCCTTTCTTACAAAACAAATGTTAACTCGAGGTGAGTATTCTCTTGTTGGTTTTCTCTCTTTTTCTCATTATAGTTTTTGTGTGACGTTATATAGACGAGACAAAACAACAAAAAATAAAAATAAAATCTTGACAGATCACGAGCAAAATTAAAAGACCAAAATTATATCTGCTCCTATAGTATATAAACCATATTTCTCTTTCTCTATCGATTAATATATAGATAGACGGATAAGATAAATAACACTTATCACTTTATGATATATCATACGCGATACTATGATCATTATGGCTACATCAAATTTAACTATTCATAATTTATCGAAAGATAGAAATTCAGCAAAGGTTATTTATTCTAAACCACCTGATTATGCAGTTCTTTATCCTAAACCACCTAATTATACAGTTCAATCTGCAGAACCAGTCAATTGTTCAAATACTCATAGTCAAATTCATCAACCTCAATCAACGTATAATATAAATTCTTCATCATCCTCTACCAATCTCAATCAAAATATAATTCAGTCAGCAAATGAAATTAGTAGTTACAAAACTTGGTCTATTATAAATATTTTCTGTTGTTGCAATATATGTTTTGGTTGCCTTGCTTTATATTATTCAATCGAGACAAAATATTTAAAAAACGAAGGTCTTATGCAAGATGCATTAAAAACTTCACTGGTAGCTCGTAATATCAATATAGTTGCTACGATGACGGGTATATTCTCTTTGATTATCTTGTATATCTATTGTCTTAAATAAAAATAATTCTCAAACAGTTAGAAGATTTCATTGATTATTTTAAATTAATCTATTTAGACTATTTCAAATTATTATTTATTGATATAACTTTATAATCAAACAATATATAACTGATATGAACTACATTTAAACAAAGTTAACTTTTATCTTTATTACAGATATTTGATTGATCCACATCCGAATATCTAACGATAAAATGACATCGATGGACCGGTGGTTCATCGTCATCGTTGCATGCCTAGATAAGAGAATAAATGTAAAAAGATGTTTGTAATTATCTATAAATGACAATCATAATATATAGAATTAATTTCTTTGATTTTATTTGATTAAGAAAAAAAACTATCTACGCAATGTAATACAATCTATTTTGATAAAATAATTAATTGTAAATATGGTTTGATCTATCTTTTGAAAACTAAATTTAACTATATAGACATAAATAAAATGAAATGAATTACTTGCTAATTATAAATTCGCTTAACAAACATCTCATTCTATACTTCCAATTACTATTGCATTTGCTATTGGAGGGTATGGGTATGTAATAAAACTAAATATTCGCACCACACTCACATCCACCCTCAAGATATGTCTTTCAAAAAAAGGTGAGCGAACCCGAAAGATGAGCGTCACTTGTACTTCCTACATTTGTTGTAATAGATGATAAGTTTACATTGTTTGAATAACGACAAATCCAACAACAACATCAATTAATACTATTAGTTGTGCATAGGCAGAAAATAATCCATTTCATTTAGTCAAAGAAAAATTAATGTGTTACCCACACAATCAGTTTGTTCACTTTCTTCCTGAAATCTAAGATTCACTTAGTTGTCATTTTAATTGTTTTATGATTTCAAATTATTTAACTAATCGGATCACATACTGAGGGTGTACACTCGACTAGAGTATAATACCTACACCCACCCTACAATTATATGAGTCACAGTTTAGGTAAACTAATGATCACAATATTAGAATTAAGAAATGCCTCGTATAACGCAACATTAATATTCTAATTAGTAAAACTAACGATGTCTTAAACTTTCTGATTTAATATATTTATTAGAAAACTTTTTCTACACATATTAGTAATGAAAAATAGACAATTTACCTAGAGTAGAAAATATATTCATTATTGAATTTTTCTAATACGTTTTCACGAAAACCTATGATGAAAAATAAACTTTTAAGCTGAAAAATAATTTCTTTTTTTACGATCTTCTTATACAAATACGAGCTATAGTTAGATTTAAAGTTACTTTGACAAACGTCTGACATAAAAAAAAAACTTCTGACAAAAAAATCCAGCAAAACAATTTGGTGCTGTGATCATTACATTTATCTAACTTAATCATATAATTTACTAGAAACAAAAAAACTTATATTTTAAGCTGTAAAAAAACAAGAAATATTTTTGCAAGCAAATGTTTACAGCGGCAATTAATCATATGGCAATAAATCATACGGCAATAAATCATGTAGTTCATATGAAATCATATGTCTCTTTCTCTATTGATTAATATATAAATAGAAGTATTAGATAAATAACACTTATCACTTTTTTCTATAATATTATACTCGATAATTCGAGCATTATGGCTACATCAAATTTAACTGTTGATTATTTATCGAAAGATGGTCATTCAGCGAAGGTTATTTATTCTGAACCACTTGATCATACAGTTCAATCTACAGAATCAATCAATTATTCAGATACTCATACTCAAGTTCATCAACCTCAATCAACGTATAATATTGCTTCTTCGTCACCTTCTAGCAACCTCAATCGAAATATAATTCAGTCAACAAGTGAAATTAGTAGTTACAAAACTTGGTCTATTATAAATATTTGCTGTTGCAATATATGTCTTGGTTGCCTTGCTTTGCATTATTCAAACAAGACAAAAGATTTTAAAAGAGAAGGTCTTTTGCAAGATGCACTAAAAACTTCAAAGGTAGCTCGTAATATCAATATAGTTACTACAATATTGGGCATATTCGCTTTGGTTTTCTTCTTTATCAAAATTCTCAATCAATTGAATTCTGACGCAGTTAAAAGATATCATTGATTATTTTAACTTAATCTATTCAGACTATTTCAAATTATTATCTCTTATTTTAGTTTTAATAAACACAAAAATACCATTAACAAAATATAATTTATTCTTAATTATGTTTTTTCACTGATATAGCTTTATTACTATATAAAGCTGATCATTTTTATTAGCATTGAGCATCTAATATGAGGAAAAAGAAGATAAATACAAATAATAGAACGATGCTGAGCCAACCGATATTACATATGTGTACTCTAGATAATTTCAATATACTCAAAAAGGATTAAAATCAGTTAGAATCAATATAAGTTTATGTATACTTACACGCTTGCGACTACTCAATAATCTTTAGTTAACAAAATGACCACAATACATTTAAGTCAAGTCATTAACTCCATTTTCAATAAAATCTACAGAACCGCAAAAATCAACTCATATCTTGTGCAACTATATAATGTATAGAATCAGCTATTTACTCATTCCTCAGTAGTCTTTATTTTAGGTAGTATAGTTCAAACAATAAATGAACCAAATCTGGTTATTCCATAATTGATTAATAATATCAATATTGTACAATGTGCTACACTTCAATTTAACGACACAAACTTCAGTGAATCTATAAAATTATTTTAACGTCGTTTATTATCATCAAAATTACATGCTTTTCCTGATCAGAAATTAATAAATGAAGAGATATTGATTCATCTAGGTCGTAGATTGAAGTTGAAAAATGATCATGTTATAATAACTCACTTGCAAAAGACATATTTTCAATTTTAATCTACATAAGAGTTGTTCAACTCCGCCAAGGACGGTCCCAAGCCCGGCTGCAAAAGGAGGAGGGTAGTCCGCCAGGGTTTGCAACCCGCACGGATGAAAAGGAATCTGCAAACACTCAGCCAAACAAGAGAGTCCCCACTGGCGTAGAC